TATATATATATATAATACACAAACATATATAAACTACCACAAAACAAATGTTCTCATTTCAGATATTTGAAACATCCTAGGCTTGTATTAATTTGTCATATACTGTCATGGCAACCCACAACAGAAATGCACGGAAAAGGGATCCCGATTCGGAGGCGGAAAACCAAATTGGAAATGTGAACAGAGAAAGAAGTGCATTACTTGACGAGCTTAGAAAATACTTCATGGATCACGTGGTTATTTCTGTTTCTGAACAGAAGCGTGCCAAATCTGTAGTAGAAAAGATTAAACAGGTTTTTCAAAGTTATATAAAAACATCATGTGATCATGATTTTGGAAACATCTTTCATCAAGGAAGCTCGTACGAAGGACTGAAGGTTATAAAAGAAGACGAATTTGACCTACTGGTTCCTCTGAAGATGGTCACCGTTGGTGTGTGGGAAGCAGTCGAAGCTACAGGGGTCAATGGGTGCAATGCTCCAGGATATTACTTCATAAAAAAAGCTGAGAAACATATAGCAACAAGCTTGGACCGATGTATTGTTAATGGGTATCTTAACCCGATATCCACGTTTCGACACATGCAGTCACTGGTAGAAGGAGCAACAAGCAGAATGAACAGAGAACTGACAGGTATAAAAATTACCTCAAGCGTAAGTGGACCAGCCTTAACCCTGAACGTTGTATACGGGGGTAACGAAAGACTGTCGGTCGATATTGTGCCATGCATAGAGCTTGGTGGCAATGAATACGTTGCAAAGAGGCACCCTAAGGCTGAGAAGCAGAACTCTAGGCATGCACCAGGACAGAATATCTTTGACCAGCTCTGGCGTAGAAGTTACACAAAGAAGGAGCAGATAATTGTCCGTGAGATGGACTGGGAGCATGAATGCCGTCGAACATGTCTGAAGATCCTGAAGACAATCCAGAAGAAGAGAGGTTCCTCTCAACTTGGAATGCTGTCATCCTACCACCTCAAGACCTGCATGTTGCATCTCAACGATGACACAAGTATTGGGTCATGGCATCAGGATAACCTTCATCATCGATTTAAAGATCTGCTCTGGAAACTAATTAAGTTCCTAGAGGATCGTAACTTGCCAAATTTCTATAACCCATCTGAAAATCTTTTTGAGAAGTATTCGGAGGAATCACTCCGCAACATCTTGCGTTGGCTGAGGGGTATCATGAGAACCGACCAAAATATAATAGATGATCTATTACATGGAAGGTAAGTAGTAATTTATAAGCATCAAGGATTTACTTTCTATTCCAAATAAAATATTCCTCTTGCCAATTAACTGACTTAAAAAAATAATAATTTGTTTTCGAAATAATATTTGTTTTTTTCTGTCGCCAGAGACTACCAGGATATTACTGACAACAATTTCCAGGTTTTCGTGAGGACCACAAACGGGAATACACTGACGTTCAGTAATATGAAGAAGACAACTCTAGTGCGGGAGTTAAAACAGAAAATCCAGCTGAAAACTGGAATACTCCCGAATCAGCAATTGTTGGTTTTTGGCGGAAAGAATTTGGAGGATCATCGCAGCTTAGATTTTTACGGGATTGGTAATGAGAGTACTATCCAGATGACGGGACGCCTGCGCGGAGGCTAGATCTGCAAAATCAAACAAGAAGCTTCGTTGGCTACGAAATGAAAGAACTGTTCTAATACAAATGAAAAGTTAACAGATATAAATATTTTAACTACAAAATACTGAATATTGCCCAAGAGTTGTATTTAACATAATTACAATTCCTAGATATGTTGTTACATAACTTAATAGTACCCTTCCTTTATTCTTCCTTTGTTTTAATATCATGTATTTAATATATTTTAATATATAAAAAAGTTATGTAAATAATGTTGATATTTACTCTTTCTTTGCTCTAGTACAGTATTATACATTAAATTATTTTTTAAAATATAAAACAATATGTAACAAGAAGCTTCGTTGGCTACGAAATGAAAGAACTGTTCTAATACAAATGAAAAGTTAACAGATATAAATATTTTAACTACAAAATACTGAATATTGCCCAAGAGTTGTATTTAACATAATTACAATTCCTAGATATGTTGTTACATAACTTAATAGTACCCTTCCTTTATTCTTCCTTTGTTTTAATATCATGTATTTAATATATTTTAATATATAAAAAAGTTATGTAAATAATGTTGATATTTACTCTTTCTTTGCTCTAGTACAGTATTATACATTAAATTATTTTTTTTAATATAAAACAATATGTGTACATTATGAAGCGCATTACACAATTGTATTAAATAATTCAATAATGCCAATAATAGAAATAATATAATATGCCTAAGTGTACTTGTATCTTTCCGCTAAGCCCCGCCCACCCACTCCCCCTGTGAAATTGTTGCTTAGCAGTGTAGGGCGCGCGCGTATTCCTGGCATTGTTCTGATTGGTCAGTTGTTAAGTTTGATTGACACTCATTACTAGAAGCTTGAATAAAATTATTTCATATTATTGAACTGATTAAAATAAAGCAAACGATTATTTCCTTAAACATCATAAATTTATTTGAGTAGAGGATCATCGCAGCTTAGACTCTTACGGGATTGGTAATGAGAGTACTATCCAGATGACAGGACGTCTGCGTGGAGGCTAGCTCTGAAAAAGACTCTTACGTCATCATAGAAGGCACAATTCCATTTATCAAATATGTTAATACAGTAGATCGATCGTCTAATTATCTAATCAAAACAAATATTAATAGTTTGCATCTGCTTAGATAAGTTACATAGGCCTACACTGTATTCGATTGTATTGAAATTGGCATTCGTTTATGGAATAAAACATACACTGACTGTTGAATGTGATGTATGGTCATTTACAACATTAGACTCGTGTCATGAACTCAAATTTTTCAGTCATCATGAAAACACAACAAAGAAAACATGAGTGAAGGATGTAGAGAATACATTGAATGAACGACGTATAGTAGTATGCTATCAGAATAAATCACCTGTTAACCCTTCTCCTCTCCTACTTCAGAAAAGGACCTATGATATGAGTTTGGCTTGACAACCCAGATATGGATGTGATATGCCATATATTATGGGCAAATAATATGGTGTGGAGTTGAATAGCCTAGTGGTTGAGATGTTTGCCTTATATCCCAGGGTACTGTGTTCAATTCCTGTCTCAGCAGGACTTTTTCTTACGACTAAAAACAACTGCACTGCTACAAAGCATCGTTGAATCCTGTACTGTAGTTACTGTTTGATGTGAAAGAAATTTAAAAAATATTAAGATAATATTTTTTAAATCGTATAGCGCTATACGTGGCGCTATACGACCTTTTGTTATAGTAGTTTACACTGACGTTATGCTGCTAAGGGGGTAAAATCGTAATGGCCTTTAAAATTGCCAAAAAACGATATTAAAGTTGATTCTATTACTAATGACATATCAAAAATCGCCTCTAGAAAAAAAAAATCATCTTTGTAGGTCCCTTTTAAGATTTTAAAAAGGAAACCCTGCTATTAAATATGGTATTTACCTGTAAAAGACATTAGGAAGATTTCACAACTATACAAAAACGACACCAAATACGAATACGTCATTATCGTCATTCGTGCCTAAAACATTCATGGTTGCACGACGGCGGTATGGACGTAGAACGCAATGACGTCACATAAAGTTATCTGCGCATGCGTGTGGATTCTAGGACGCAATTTGGTCAAATCTACGTAGGCCTATGCAGAGAACATATAGGACGGTCACGCATGAGTGATTCTAGCATCGCTTCGTTGTGCAAATCCTGCAAAGCCTCATAATAAAGCATGTTTGAATGATTTAAGCCCTGTCTAGACTATCACATTTGACAAAAGCATGTGGTATACCTAAATATGGTTAAGATGACATCACATGACCATATTATTATAGGTACATCATGAATAAATATGGAGAGTGTGGACAGAGTCCAAGTTCGCTATAGGCAGTCCTTGGCCTATGTGCCTAAACATTTAAATCTAATACAAATTTTAATAAAATATAAATTCCCAGTGGGCCATTCTATTCCGTTGCTTGGGCAGTAAACAGGGAAACATATTGTATTGCGTTTCTTAACATGGGCCATATTAGACATTAATTGTTATTAAACATAAATTATTAACATATATAC